TGCATGATGTCGCATGCAATCTGTTATATCAGAATTTAACGTAGGTCTTATTATTGATTAATAGCGATTATCAACAATATTTATCACGTCATATTTACGTCATTTTGACGCCTTAACTTTGCCCGCCGTTATTTTATCTTTTATCGTACTCGAACCGAGTTCGTCGAATTTAACAGCAAACATATCAAGTTTGATTACTACTTAGTAACTTACGGACACGCGTTCCAACGCGTTACGGTTGAGGTAAATAACGTTTATAAACGTAATAAAAAAAGCTAATTCTTTTTATTAGTACTTCTGGCATTCCTGTCCGTGCCAAAGGCAATCTCGTTCGGTATTTCGCAACTTTTCTGCGGTACGAACAATTAGCACGCCTAGTAGAGCGTGCGCTAATCACGGAATTTTTCCGAACTCCGTAATATTCCGCCGGTTTTCTTCCACGCTTAATCTCGTCACTTGTCCGATATCGAGAACTTAATGGCATAATAGTTTTTTTTTCCTTGATAGCGACAGGTAACTAACATCCCGCAGCTATTTCCGGACGTTGAAAGTTAACAATTGCATTATAGTAATTATCATCGGCTTGCCGCATCGGGCTGATAATTGCCGGCAAAGAGTTAATAAAATTACGTGTCTGTATGTATGTTTGATTTTTTTAATATTTGCACTGCGTACCATTAACTCTTTGATCTTATTGGAACCATTGGTTTTTTAAATTTTTCTGTTGAAGAAAGACATATTTACATATAATCTCTATGTGCACAAGTAGAGATAAAAAATTTGAATATACGCTTTAGTTTGGAGCTTAAATTAACTTTAAGCCCAGTAGAAATTAATTAATAACAATTTACAAGTTTATTTATGGATTAATTTGAAGTTCTGTAATAATAAGTTTTTATTTGTATTCGAAGAAATGTTGAACTTCTATATAGGATAATGTGATATAATATAAATCGTGCAGTGGCACAAATTCAATAAGGTGGGATGAATTATCGGAACGTTGAAAAGAATTCCGCTTTGATATCGCATGGATGAGTTATTTGCCGGTGATAATAAACAGCCGGGTGCTCCGACAGCGGTAAAAAGCAAGTAAATACACGCGCGAGTCATTGGAATTATATCCGAGATTCTCAAGTATAATACGAAAGATATGAGGTCTTATAGTATCGCAAATAAGTGAGTGGTTCTAACAGATGTGTTTGATAAAGAAATTTACATTTTGCGCCGGGTAGATAGGCAGAAGATATTCGAGCATCCACCTGCCTTGACTAACAATGTTTACAGCCGTATGCCAATTTTTGTATTGATGCTTACGTAATGACTAAAACTCGATTTGTCATTAAACGTGATTATTAATCGGGCGTGGAACGCGGGCACGTTCGCATAACGAGCACGTGTGACGTGACAACTACCGTGCGAACGTATGCGAGGTATGTACATTGATGTAGATCGATAAAAAAAAGAGAGTACAGTAATTGTAATCGTGTTTAAATGATTTATCGCCGCCGCTAATTGGCAACAAACATTTTATCTCTTCTTTACGGGGAAACATATACAAGGACTTTGGCATATCGACATTTGCGTGTTTGTTGAATGAGTTAATACTTTTCTCAGCAGTCATTGGTAACGTAAATAATGTGTAACGAGATAATCATATTTTCTCTTTAGCGGTTGAATACGTCGTTAACACGGCATTAACCGCTATTAATTTTTCGAGGCGCGTAAATTGTATCCGAGTCGAGTAACTCTGTCGTTGTATGTACGTTTGTATCGCGAAACTAAAGAAATGCGAATCTCGGAATATTGTCTATACTCTAAATGTGAAAAAAAACTGCACGCTATTATATTTACATCAATCTTAACGCGGTATAAATAAGAAGAACGCGAGATCTTTTATCTATATATATCATATATTTTGCGAGTATCGCAGAAAAAGAGATTTTATTTATATATAAATAACATGAAATTAACCGTCATTAATTTTTTGACGCTCGTAAATTGTATCGAGTTTGAATCATAATTCTGCTATTGTACATTTGTATCGCGAAAACGAGGAAATGCAAATCTCAGGATTTTGTTTATATTTTAAATTAAAGCCTATACGTGAAAGAATGCACACTATTAGGTATATTTATATAAATTTTAACGCGATATAAATAAAAAGGCGCGACATGTTATCCTTATATATATGTATTTTGTGAGTATCAAAGAAAAAGAGATTCTATATCGCAAAAGAGATATATTATCAGATATGATGTCGCGTTGTTGACACGTTTGAATATAGTAACAATGTTTTAATAGCTATCTATTTGCGAATCGAATATACCCCTATTCTGTATTTGATTTTTAACGAATAGTATTGATACTATCTGAAGAATCTTCCACTATAATTCTCTATATAAATCGTGCATATCGCGATACATGTCATTTTGTAGGCGTGGTACTCTATTGAAGGACGTATTAAACGGTCGTATCCGCGCATTATGCAATTTGTACGTTTGCATAGTGCGGCAAGAAAATTTCCCGTATTCGTCGCGTTACGACTTAACAACTGCATATAAAAATGTACAAACCGCAGAGAATTATGTAGATGTCGGTCGACAATTTACACTTTAGGAGATTGGTCTTTTAAGTCGCAATTCCTATACGGCTATGCCGAGAATTGACCGAGCGAATCTTCGACATTTATTGAATTCTTTAATTTACAAGTTCTCTTTTCACGCAGACCACAAAAAGCGCGCTTAAAAACCGCGGAAAAAACCTAATTATTCGCGCGCACGATCAGATAAGCACTTGCTTTGCATGAAAATTGCCGAGGAAGAAAATTCGTTGACGATTTACGTTTTAGAATCAGGAAGGAACTGATGTTTTTAAGTCACACTTTTATCATTACGCTGAAAATTTATCAAGTGGACATTTGATATTTATTGAGTATTTATTGATAATATATGAACTATATATTTATTGAATATATAATAGTTATTTGTGTAACAAGTGCTGTAAGATGGAAATTGGACGTGCGTCCACTCCGCACGTCCAATTTTCAACTTAACATGCACGTGTGACATAAAATACATATTTACTGAATTCTTAAATTTTTATGTAAGTTGTTCTTCACGTAGGCCACAAAAACTGTGCTTAAACGTCGGAGGAATCTCGGTCATATAACGAAATAGGTTCTCGCTTTGCACGAAAACCACTCGGGAAAAAATTTATCACTAGATAATTTACGTTTTAGGATTGCGAGGATATTGGTTTTTCAAATCGCAATTTTCACGGCCGTGCCGGAAATTGACCAAGCAAACGTTTATTGAATTCCTGAATTTACAAAGTTTTTCTTCACGCAAATCACAAAAACTGTGCTTAAAAGCCGTAGAAACCTATCCCAGTAGCAGAGTGACGTCAAATGATGTTTTAATGACGTCTAATTGACGTCTAGAGACGTCTCTAGACGTCAATTAGGCGTCATCTTGCTACCTGGGTAACCGTTCGCGCGTACAACGAAATAAGCATTCACTTTGTACATAAATCGCTAAAAAGAATTCGTTATTTATCACAATAGAGATAGAGCGACATTAACACACTAATATTAGACAATCGGTCGATTCAATTGACGGAAAAAGCCAGACGAAACTTCCTTATTAAATTGCAATCTATAACCATTCATGTCGCAACAGCTGCAAGCGCGGAATATTACAGAATAATTCAAAAGCAATCGTTCGTGTGTTTACTTTCAAGTGATTAATCAATGTGCAGCCGTGTGATATTTATGTTTTAATTGTTGAAGAAAATTTTAAAATTCTATATTTCTTACATTATGTCAGTGGAGTTCGTGAATTGCGACATCGGTTTACATAAGTTTGTTGCTTGCAACAACTTGTAAATTGCTCCAATTTGCGCGACTATAATAACACTGAAAACGCATAAAAATGCGACCTTCTTTTTAAATCATTCAGTAAATGTTTGCATATACACACGTACAAGTGCATTCATCGGGCGATCGATAACATTCTACCGTAGCTGTTGCCTATAGAATTGTCATAACTATTATTATACTTATGTGTACAATATATTACGGTGTGTTACGTGGCGAGTAGTAAAATCGAAATCAATGATCATCGGAATCAATGACGATATAACATGGTATATATATATATATATTGTCGGAGTATAAGTGGCATACGAACAATAGTTGTGATATATGATATGTGATATGCGATAAATACACAGTTAAAATATAGCGGTCTATATGTTAAAATTTTCTTATGTTACTAAGATTTGATTATTTCAATGTAAAATTAACATACAATAGCTATATTGTCATTTTCTTAACATTTTCATGTGTTACATTTATGTCAACGTGATAACTTAACACTTTATGTATGTCATTTAGAAATTAAATATTATTTTGTGTTCTTTTAACACAATTATTTTAAAAAATCAACACGTCTTAAAGTTATTTTAACACATAAACAAAAGTGAAAGTAAATTTTCAAATAATCGTAAACTTTGACAAAATAATTAAATTTACTAAAATTAAATGTTTCTATTACATACAATTCAAGTAAAATAAGATATCTCGAAATCTGTCCAAAGAAAAATTCAAGATACGTCCAAAATTGTATTTAGTTTATATTTATATCTATTCTGATTGCATTTGAAGGAGAGAGAGAGCAGAAAAAAGTTTGTGCGTTATTTATACATGAGACAACCAAGAACTGCTACTCTACATCTTATTTTATATTAACAAAGCATTTATAGTTATAAACCCGTGCTTTAATGAGAATATACATGATTTATAGAATAATATTTCTCTAAATAAATAAATATTTTAAAATGTAATTTCTGTGCGTATGTGCACGCGCACGTTCTTTTGTAATTCAAATTTTGCTGATACCAACGATATTTTTGCAACTATAATATAAAAATAATTGTAAATACTTGTTTCTTCTGTACTTTAACAAGTTACTGCAATTTACATAGTTCACTATTTGTTGCAGGATGCTCTGCAAGATCTGAAAAAATCTTCCTCATCTAAGGAGCGTCATGGGTGAGCACTTAATATAATGAATTCTATAGAGAAATTAGGTCTCTATTTATGTACTTGATTTTACACGCATTATTTTTTAAGATTTTTTTATCTTCTAATTTTAACGAAAAATTTTAATGCTGCGATTTAAAATCAGTGTAGGAAAATATCATTACGTGAGTTATATTGATAATGACTGCTTTCATTATCATTATATCTCAAACGTTTAAGCTTCAACTCTCCCTTGTCTAGCTTGTTTACATAGCAGCGTAAGTTTTGTATAAAATTTGCATTTTTATAGCTACGGATCGAGCGAGAAGAGTGACGGCATTTACGTCCTGGAACTCGAAGAGAAAAAGAAGAAGAACTCAAATGAACAGGAAAATGATTATGACCCATATAAGTATAGAGTGGTGGAGCATCCGACTACGTAAGTTCTGTAATTAAAATACATTTTACGTCGTTTTATTTTATTCATAACGCGATAATATGAAGAATGGAAAGAATACACATATGTATATATATACTAAAATAAAATTTTTTAAAAATATGTAGAGAGGGAGGAAGGACGGGAGGTGGTGTATATTTCTGTTGTTAAATTTGTTATCGAAAATAGTGTTATTTATAGAACTACGTTGAAAGATTAGACGCATTCTTCTTTGATGGAAAATTAGCAACCGTCTCTATCTAAAAATGATAGACGATAAATTAATATGATATCTTCAGACATTTGATAGTTTCGAAGGCACGTAAAGTGATATTATCATGATACAATCAAAAAAGGACATCTTCGATTGCACAGATATTGATGTAACATACGTTCTATCGTTTTTTATCATTTTGATCAATTTGACGATAAATCTAGCGATAGGTTCCCTATGCTTGTCAATTTTTTAAAATTAATAAAGATTATGTAAGAGGCGACCGATTATCTCACATATTGCTGAATCGTAATCATCCAAACAGGATTTATTGGAACATCATCTGATTTATTAAAGAGTTAATCAAGATGAAAAACGATACTCATTCAAGGTGACCAAGAATATTATGTAACTCTTATTATACTTCCCTCCCCCGCGAAATGACGTTTTCCTTATACGTGCCAATTGTCTTATTAGCATAATTGTCTGATTAGATTGAATCAGATTGAAAGACTCGGTAAAATGACTTCTAACATCTTCTTGATGAAAACGTGGAATGCACGCTTATTATAATCAATATGATAATAATTATCACCATTGCAAGGTTATAAATGACTCATATTACAATTATCAATAATTTATGCGAATATTTGAACGAATATGATATATATATATATATATATTTTTTTTTTTCCTTATTGGTTTATTTACATCAGCAAATCCAGCAGTATGTAAGATTAGGAAATCTCGTGCGCAAAAGTCATGTTTTCTTTTTTGAAAGTCTATTCAATTTAAATATTTTGCAATTTTAATGCAATTGCACACTAATAGTTTGGCAAATGCTCGGTTTCTTTCAACATGGTTTCAACATGGTTTTTCAGCAATGCGGAAACCATGCTTCACCTGCTGAAGGGCAGTTTAGGTACCGGAATCCTCGCGATGCCGCGAGCTTTCTACAACTCCGGATACATTATCGGCTTTGTAGCCACGATCATCATTGGGTTCCTTTGTATATATTGCATGCGAATTCTCGTTCGCTCGGAGTACGAACTATGCAAGAGGAAAAGGGTGCCGTCCATGACGTATCCAGCGACCGCAGAATCCGCTCTGCTCGAGGGACCGAGGTGCCTCAGACGGTTCTCCAAAGCTTCTATGTGAGTACGTTATGCTTTTTCCGATGTAATTTTAAGAATTATATTTATTTTGTATTTCTGTTGTATTTCGCGTGTCGTCGCTGATAAAAATAGCTACACTTGATCATTAAATTATGGTAATAGTATCTAATTAAGTGTTATTTTGTACAATCGGTATCCGCGCGATATATTCTAATTGCAATAATAAGATCGTAATTAGAGAGCAACTTTTAAATTACATATGTATTATGAAAAACATGTTTTTCTTTCGCAGACATATAATAAACACCTTCCTATTGATATATCAGATGGGCACTTGCTGCGTCTACATAGTTTTCATTGCTAAAAATCTGCAATTGGTGAGTATCTCTGCCATTTTTAGCTCATGTTATGCTTTCATATATTATTCTTCTGACAAACATTATTGAACTCAATGCCAAAACTTTTATCTTTAAGTTGCAACATTACTCATCTAATAGTGTTGTCCTTTCGATATGAACAATATGACATGACTTGAGTTGAACAGTCATGTTCAACATTAACTAAAATACTCTTTTTCCGCATACCTCTTGTATTACAAGATTGTGAGACGTGCTACCAATGATATTCTGATGAAATCTGATTTTAATAATTTACGTTTACGCCTTCGAAGGACAAAAAACAAGTTAAGAAAATCGGTTATCTTAAAATAATATCAGATCAATTATTACAACGTATAATGATTTTACACAGTATAGTAATTTTGTGGTAATTTAATCTCCTATATGTACGTCATTGCTTCGCATTAATTGCTTTCCGTGCTCGTTACCACGTTACCACGTCTATCGATAATTCGTTTGGAGTATTTCTCAGTGCAATCAATCCGATATCGCCGGTATCTCCTCACATTATGACGCGTAGGCTGAAAAGGGAATAATCTAGGTCAGGGAAATATGCCGTAAGAGAGAATACGCGAGTAGACAGTCGCCGGTAATTAATGCGCATGCAGTTGAGTCAAGGTGATCGTACCTAACACAGACGGCCGGTCATCGACATTCTCGACGACTGACGCTCGAGATCGAAATCGAAAATACAAGTCGTTCTTGCGCGAACTTGCCCGAGTTTCACGAAAATGCAGTTTGCCTCACAGACTTTATCAATTCGATCACGGTCTATATATACTCTACTATATATAGGTGTGTATACATATATGAATATATACATGTATGTACCGGATGCCGTTCGAGAAGTTGCTGTAAATATTAATAGTTATTATTTTATAATCAATGGACAGAATGAAATAAAATTAAACATTATATTATAAAAGAAACCAAGTCATTTTTATTAGCACATAACGCGAAAAGGATATATATGTGAATTTGTAAAAATAAACATTATGAGTCTGGCGTCAGTTTGTTCTGAGACTTTTGTGTACTTTAATGTGTGTGTGTGTGCGTGCGTGTGTGGGGGAGCGAAGGGCGGAACTATTTGTGTAACTTATAGAGAACTATAAAACTATTAAAAGTAAAGCCAGAACTCTCTTAATACTTTATGAGTTTCCACAAAATGATATACATACTTCGAACTTGCACAATAATCTCGAGGTGCTATTAAATACACTTTCTAATATTAACACGTTGTCTGATGGTCATCCGTGACCGGCGCCTGACTTTTCAGTGGCGTCTTGGTGATCATTGGTGACCGGTAATTTATACAATTCATGAGGATAAAGTTTTATTTAATCATAATATTTTATTATACAGGGTAGGTCGAAATACGTGTTAAATACCGAGAAGAAGGTGATTTTACGGCTCAAAATAAGTCAAGATAATAAAATATTTTTTTTTTTCGTGTAAGACCTCGTTTTCAAGAAAAAGGATTTTGAAAGTTAATCATCGTGTATGCACTTGACTGATATTTGCCGTAACAGTTACATCAGATGTTCTAGTTTGTTTACTATCATGATTAATTAACTTAAATCTAACGTTGGTAGAAATGGATATAAAGCCGAAATCAACCAGATTATTAGCTTTCTTATAATTTTCTTACAACTCTATATTTTTACAGGTTTTTAAATATCTATTCTTTTTGCACTATATGTGTTAATAAAAATGACAGATTTCTTCCGCAAAGTAAAACTCAATTCCTTCATTCTATTCATTAGTTACAAAATAACAGCTATTTAGTTTTAACAACTTCTCGATTGTCATCCCAAGTAACATCGGTGCGTTAACACATTTGACACATATGCAACAGATGACTCGGGGGAATGTAAGCAGTAGCGTCGTGCGTAAAATTCCAGGACGACACGTACGATATCCTCGTAATTTTTCCTCTCCTTCAAGAGGAAAAATTATTTTTCTACATGATTGCTAAATGCATCTTGGTATTAAGTGATAAGAGCCGCATCGCGGATTGTAGAGATTACAAATGGGTATATTTACGCCAATCGTGTTCGTCCCATATTCTTGTATTTCACATCGCGATCTCGTCCTAGTCTCGTATACCGCCGCCGAATGATTTATTATGGAATTTCACTATCTCGCCGGTCGTACGAGCGGCACGAGGATCGTTGCAGCGGTGCGAAACGAATGGAATCTTATCACGAGCGTAAGATCAAGTGGAAGTAAGAGTCGCTCTCGAGTCGGACGGGCGTTAACTTAAGTGCCATTCACATAACGATTATACGGTGTGTAATAACGCAAAAGAATTTTTTATGTAACTTTTTTGCAATTCTTTTGTAAGATTTTTTTTTTACTTTCGTAAACCCTATACTCGATCGTTAACGCGCGCTCTTGACGCATGAAGGTGCCGTTGCACGGCAGATTGGACGGAAAGGCCGAATTCCTGCGATCCAGCCGTTTAGAACGTAATTTTAAAGAGCTAAATCCTCGAAGCATTCTTGCCGAACGGAGTCCAACACTTCGATCGCGCGCGAAGTAAGCGGCAATGGAAAGCGATTTGACTGGGTAATCGTTGGATGCTTGGTAGATATTTTGTGAAACACGCTCTATATTCGAAAAGGAATTTTCGCGTGCTGCAGTTGCACCGCGGCGCGTTTGTAATGACTGCAATTTTGCAATATTACGACGGCGCTAAGCCTTATGTGGACGACACCTTAGCCGCGGATTGGGAAGGCGTTGCGTAGCGCGCGATGCAATAGATAGTTAACTATCGTTACGACACATATGTTATTACGGCAACTAAATCGAGTCTGTGTGCGATAGATGCAACGCGTGCGTTCCGTGTTGAACCTGAATGCCACCTGCGTATATGTGGCGAACGAGCGCGCCGCGACTTCATGGTCGGATGCGAAGTGAACGGAACTGTGTACAAAGTTGTTACGTTAATCGCTTAAAGAGCCGCATAAATTAACTTTAGATTAGGGTATCATTATACTACGTTTTAAATAGCGGAACAGACATATTATAGACATTTGAGAATAAAACTTTAATTACAAACGCGGAAAGCTCCGAAAATATAGGAAGGATATAAAGAAGAAGATGCAAACTAATAAATATTACGTGTGATACAATTTCTGCAATCTATAAAATTATAACATAATATAAAAACATCTATTTATTGTTACTGTTTTATTTATCTTCTTTAAAAAGTATTCTTTCATAAAAAGAAGGATAGAAGGGTGATAATGCACGTATAATTAAACTATTTATATATTTAATACATTTATAAAAAACTATTAGTGCAACCTAACTGAAATTCCGACTGAAATTGAAAAATTCCGAAAGTATGACATATAGGGATCTTCAAAGACTTAACCAAGAAACGAGCTCTAGAAGCCAATCAGTCTAGCTGCTTGATCTTACATAGAAGCAGCTGAATAAATTATTCCTATAAGGAAGCTTCTGGCGGCATTATTCGCTCGAGCACAAATCGTTAGCAATTAAAATTTAATTGATCGCATTATGCAATAATTCAATAATGAATTTTCGCCAATAAACGAAGCGATCAACTGCTAAAACATTTCATTTAAACACTAAACATATGATAAATGATACAAGCAATTTTGTTTCTAAGAAAGAATTTTAAGATCTCGATATCTTTCAATATTATTCTTAAAGCTTCACAAATTCACTATTTATAATATCTTCTTTTAAAAATATATCTAATGTAATGCGTCATGGAAGTATCCGATTATTTTTGTCATGTCGCCCTCTATTCCTAAAGGTTTTACTTCCACTAATTGTTATGATTTACTTGAAAAATCGATTTGTCTAGCTTTAAAATTACAAGTACGAATACAGAAATGTTTACATCATTATATGTAGATGTAGCACTTCAATGTAGATTAATTTTGCGATTGGAAAATTACAAAATATTGTACGCAGTTAATTAATTTATGTAACGTCAATTATCACGATGTGTTATCCATAGTAGCAGTACAATCGATCGCCATCGAGAGCAACATGAATAACGAAAAGTTGTTATTCTATCGCGTATCGTCGTGATCGTCGCGACCGGATTAGAGACGATATTGAAAGTCTTCAAGGTAGTTCGAATTTGAGTCGTAATACGGTTATCTCTTATTTTGAATATTTCTTTTATTGAATACACGTCGATTACTAATAATTTCTCCGGCAGCGGAAGGATTCCGCAATATCCCTTCTGACTGAACGATAATTAATAGCTGACAACGCACTTGATTTGCAATTATCCCTTTACATAACGAATACAATTCGCCTAAATGCAAGTACATTTAACTTTCAAGGGTGAATTCTATCGATTGCATGTCAGCGGCATATGTTGTTGTATCTATATCTTATTACGTAAGACGAAGGCTAGATTTGACAGCGATAAACGAAAGCTGTTAAATGATGGTATTAACACGCCCATTTCCGCCTGCCCTTGAAATCGAAGCGTAATTAACGATCAGCACGTCGGAGATGCGGGAGCAGTATCGTCATGTAACGGATTATCTAAACATTATGCGAGACTGCGTGGCGTCAATGTCGCGTGGCGTACTTATATGTCTTTGAACGCGAACTCCCAGAATTATGAGTCTAGTTATATGACGTCACTTGGTGTATCTTCAGGAGATGTAATTTTCAATTCTTAGAATCGTGACGTATAGAAAATGTTACACGAACGTGTAATTCGATTTGAAGCGATTACAATGGCGACATAAAAATTTAATTAACGTACATTATACGTACGCGTCAAGCATGCATGGTGACATTTATTTTCCGTCTTGCGGTTTTAGCATTCTTTCCTTTCTTTTTTGAATGAGTACTCAGTACGTATACATTATGTCGATCGCATAAATTAGCAATCTGAGATACAATGACGCACGCATTGTGAAATCTTTTTACTCATGTTCACGTTTATTTGGAATTGTACGAAAATTGGCATTTTTGTTGAGAATTAATTCTATCGAAGCAATTTTTGCGGCTTGCAAATTTTACGATATAATTATATTTTTAATAATTTTACTTTTAATTATATTTTTTTTTATATCAACGAAGAACGATTAAGAAGAGCTGAGCTGACGATGTTTCATGATATGTGGCATATGACATATATTGTGATCTCCGAGCATCTATTTGAGCTTTTACGTTTATTTACATCACCTATTAGAATAAGCGAATTACAAAACCTATTAAAATTTTGGAAAAAAGTTTGTATATTCAATAAATAATGTAAAGGATAATAAAATCGACACAAAAAGTTTATCTCGGTAAATATAATAGCAAGTGAGATGAATGACTTTCGCTATCGTTTCAATTTACTTTTGTCGAACAGCTTTTATGAAAATTTCGTCATTTCGTGTAAATGCAAATTCAATTTTCAACGAAATTCCGAATGAATGAGAAGATGGGCGAAAGTAATGTCATCCGTGCGTCGTTATGTTTTCAGATGCTACGTGATTGAAACACGTAAGTGTCGTAAACCGGGGCGAAAAGTTTTCTATCGAGGACTTGCATAGGAAAGATGATGACCGAGATCGCATTGGCGAGAAAAAGGACGGTATGTATATACGTCTCGAGAAAACCAGCGCTTAATTACGCATTCAATGTCAACACGTAATGTGATATGAGACAGAAGTGCTGAAGCGCTTTATATATTCTTCTCGGCACATAGCTGTCAATATGATTAGTCGTATTAACGGAATTCAGTAACTTCGTTAGCCTTCCAAGGACTCCTTAGAGTATTAATTTTGAAGTTTCCGTCGTTTTTATAGGCTTGCGTCGTAACGTGTTACTTATAAAATGCGTACATTTATTTGGCTTTTCGTTAAGTTATGGGAACAAAATTAAAGAATTTTTAGAGTACATCTCCACTCAAATACACAGTTTACGAAAAGCTGCATGTCTATTTCCACCATGAATCATTTTTATCTAGAAGTAAAAAGTCTATAGAGAATCATATCTATAAACATTAATTATCTTAATATTAAGCTAATATAGGTACAATGCTCTTGTTAAGCGTTATTAAATATTTTTGATACTATATTTAAAAATTAACTCACACATACAATCATTTCGTTAAGCGTTAAATAACTACATCTTAATAACTCATAAATACAATCTTTTCATTAAGCGTTAAATGTCTTAATGCCATACTGGAAAAGATGCATTCATAAATACAATCTTTCATTGGCGTTAAGTGCCTTAACACAAGACCTTTATAATTTAAATTCTTAAATATTCTTAAAATTTTTTTATTAAATAAGATTTAGATAAAATTTTGTCCAAGAAAAAATCGAACAACTGCTAGTAGTGTTAAGTAAAATCAATTGTGCATTACTAAATAATCACATTACATTTTTTTCTTTTCTTTTAGGGGTTGGACACGTTTGTCAAGATGGAATTGGAGACATACATGGCAATTCTCCTGCTACCCTTGATCATCGTTAATTACATCAGGAATCTTAAATTCTTGGCACCGTTTTCGACGCTAGCGAATATTATCATGTTCACTGGAATTGCTATCATGCTCTACTATATCTTTCGAGAGCCATTGTCGTTCGACAATCGCGTGGCATTCGGGAATGTTACGAATTTTCCGCTTTTCTTTGGCACCGTACTGTTCGCTCTTGAAGCCATCGGCGTGGTAAGTAATCGATCGAGATACAATGGACATTTTTTAAAAGAGTCTTAAAAGGAACAAAGGAGTCTTAATTACATAGACATAGATACGACAACAAATAAATATGAAAGGAAGTAAAAATCCAATTTGTGTAAATTTTTTTAATAGAAGAAAATTAAATTTATATAAGTTACATGTGATATTAATTTATATATTATTTCTTCAATTATACAAGAAATTAAAGTTTCCAATACTTTTATAATAATGAAGAAACTGTTGCGGGAAAAATATTATTTATTTATTTATAAACTTCTGAAACATAATATTGGTTCTTTGAATCGTATGTAGCTTTTCATCTATATAATAGCTTCAAACAGACACTTATTTAAATTAATCTGAATTTCTCTCTTTACAACATCTATATCATTCCTGAAGGTATCCGAAAAGGACTGTACATAAGTTCAACTATACAGATTATTTTCCGTTCGTTTACAGATTATGCCGTTGGAAAACGAGATGAAAACCCCTAAATATTTCATGAAGCCATTCGGCGTTCTGAACGTTGCAATGAGCATCATAGTTGCGATGTATACCGCATTGGGATTCTTCGGGTACATACGTTACGGCGAAAAAATCGAAGGCAGTATCACGCTCAACCTACCCGACGAAAAGTTAGGAATTGCAGTGCAAATTCTTCTAGCTATCGCCATCTTCTTCACGCATCCCATCCAGTGTTACGTCGCCATCGATATAGTGTGGAACGAATATATCAGTCAGTACTTGGAGAAGTACCGATTTAAGCTGCTCTGTGAATATGTAATCAGGACTGTCATAATCTTGATTACCTGTGAGTACATTTCCATTCGACCTTATTGTTAAATTGAAGAATGTAAACAATTCCGAACTCAAATGAGATCGGCATCTCTGACTTCATTTATCCATGTCCGGATCGCGTCACGCTCCTAAACGTATTTATTTGAAAATAGCTAACTGTTATTTTATATTATTGCAGAATTTTTGCTTCACGTTCACACTGACACGTCATTTTTCTTATTGTCAGTTAGTTTGGTAACTTTGTTAAATTAACAACCCCTTAAAGCATATCATGTCTCCGGCATAGAAAAGAAAAGAAAAGAAAGTTCACTTAGGTGATCTTGTTTAATTAATTTGTCGATCTGCACAATCTGTTTCAGTCGCTCTGGCGATCTCGATCCCGGAGCTGGACCTCTTCATATCGCTGTTCGGCGCGCTTTGTCTGTCGGGTCTGGGACTGGCTTTCCCGGCGATCATACAATTGTGCACCTTCTGGAAAGTGATGGGACCGAACGAGAGGAAGATTATGGTGGCGAAGAACATGTGCCTAATACTGATTGGGGCCTTGGGTTTGGTCGTGGGTACTTACACGAGTCTCCACGGGATTATCAGCAAGTTCTCATGAAGTATTCGAGGAAATTGTGTGACAAAACTGTTAAAGGGGGGTAGTGAAGTGACAGAGCGGGAGCGGAAGTAAACAGGAATTGTTCTCCGTGCGAGAAAACGACGACGACGTGATACGTAGTTGAAGTTGATCATTGCCAAAAGTGAGTGTACCTAAAAATACGAGGCGCATTCAGAGGCAGTAGCCGAGGGACCGAAATAACGTTAACTTCTTACGGCTCGCATCACACTTCGGCTTCGATTCGTCGGGGATGGGATGAAGTTCCTAGGTGCGTTCGTTGTTCTTTTTTTTACGCGTGATATACAAGTGTATACAAGACTGCAAGTGAAGATACGGACTGTACAACGACACGACGAGTCCTGGCGTCAGCGTCAACGTCAATTACTGTACAGCAACATATAGATATATATATGTATAGATATGTATAAATATGTAAAAAGGTTTTAACGTATTATAAATAAAAGAATTTTATTTTCATACTGCCGCCCCCTTTGCTTCTACATTTTTCTTCGTTTTTTAGTGCGGGCGACTTCTGAACTGAGCTATCGTTGTAACAGTCGTGTCATTTTATTACAGAAACACGTACATCTCTATTGTTTTTATTTTTATTTTAAAATAATAGAAGAGATACAAGAATATTGTATTCATACATTATTATCACATGCGACGAATCACTACGCAAAAACAAACATATTTCAATGATATGTAAAAGCAGGTGCCTATAGAAGAACGAGTACATTCAGCTAAATGTGCAAAATAATTTGTGTTTTATACATATAGGTTTCTAGACGATCAACATTATTATTAATAAGTCGATCATCGTGTCATGTAGGCGAAGGAACGTTTCCTTTTTCTAGAAATAACAAACTATATTTACAATATGAATTTTTTTATTGTGCATCACGGAAATAATTCAAGACTTCTTTTCTTTGGTTTTGCGAATCATTTTTATAATTGTTTGTTCATTCGGATAGCATGATTGTACGTAATAAGATATTAAGTGTAGTACATGTTATTTTATTTAGAATGCATTCGTGACTTAAGAAAGATGTGATAAAACGAATGAATAAATAATCGACGAAATCTTTGTATAAAGGTCTTGTATAAATATCGAATGTTAAATTAAATATCTACTTTCAAAAAGATTATAAACATTTTTATATTATAGAAATTAATTTATCGGCAAGGCGTTTGCCACAATTTTTAATAGAATTTTACTATTTATTGTTACTATCCAAAAGAACTTATTCAACAAAATTTGTTACTGTCTATTGTTACTATTTAAATAATTATTTTTTTATTAATATTTTAATTAAATAAATAAATAATCTTTTTAATATTTTGTATTATATTTTTTAACTCGCGAAAAATTTTTATATATAATTACATATAAAATATGTTTATATATATTTTCTTTTTTTGTATAATCTCTGTTCATATATGTACAAGAAAAATAATAAGAAAAATTAAACAATAATTAAAAGGATAATTTTCACATTATTTTTTTTTTTACAAAAAGCGAAGTTTGAAAAAAAATTGCTTTTATATAATAATGTATAAATAATAATCACATATAAAATATTCTATGTATAATTATATATAGAATATTGTATGATTTCATCGCGAATTTACTTTTTTTTAAAAAAAGCATTCCAAAAGTTATTTTTCCAATTATTTGTAAATTATTCTTTTTATTATATTTTATACATACAGAGATTATACAAGAGAAAGGAACATATGCATATGGACACATTTCATATATAGTTAAATGCTTCAGTTATCTCAGTTTTCCGATCAATCGAGTTGCTCCGATTTTGCCTTGATCGACACGTAACTTTTACTTTCAATCAGTCCACCTTGATCGAGACCGAATAGCCTCGTCATGCGCAAGTCTGATGAACCCTTCACTTCGGCCGCCGCTAGACGTCGCTGGGGACCATCAGCGTATGGATCGCGAGGAGGGTAGTTACCCTTCCCGGCGCGTGACCTAAAGGGAATCCGTCCTTATAATTCTCGCGGACAGTGAAAGGCACCGTGGCTGTCGCGGCCGCGCGCGGCATTTTCTCGTTGCCCAAAGCGAGGCTTTCTCGCCCTCGGCCGAATGCGCAGCCCACGTCGGGGCTGCTGCCAGGGGGCGCGCACCCTTACGCACGAGAATTTGCCTCGCGATCTTTGGTCTTCTCGGCGGCTCCCCGTCGTAACTTAATAGTTACGCGCCGCAGCCTGTGATGTAGTGTCACCTCGTGCGTGGTGAGCGACGGACGAACAGGCTCGAACGGTAAGTTGCACGGAATTGGGGTCTTTAGTGTCTTCATCGCCGCGCCGCGCACCACCATCCCTCCGCGTTCGGATTAGCATAGTTGATAGCGTCAACTCAACTGTAGCTAGTAGTAATAACGATAATAATTCCGATCGAAGTATTCTGGCTCGTTTCAGGCTGTGTTCTTCTTTTTTCTTTAAGCACATTCTGTGCATTATTTATGTGCAATTTCCCCGCATGAGAGAATGCTAGGTAGAATAACGAGCAAGCCTCATTTCGAGAAGAGAGTTATGATAGTATTCAAAGTAACAGCTTGTTCTTTTTTATTCATTGCACTTTCTTTCTAATAGCGCGGTAATAAATAAGAAGATGTGCTTTGTATTTTACCTTTGAAGAAAAATTGTTGTTGGTTTCTATCACGTGGATCTATTCAAAGACTCATATGTATTTGTTTACCAAGACCACTGAAAATCACATGAAATAAAATTGCGCGTTATTCAAATTTGACAATTTCACGTTTGATATGTTCAAAAATATAAAGAACAAGTATTAAGTGTTCAAAAATTTCACAGTTTGCGCGATTGAATTTAACTATTATCTATATTAGACAATTATCAATTATGCGCCAAGGGTAATGTCTAATATAATATAATATCCATAATCAAATTTTGTTATACATGCGCGGGAAAAACAAATCCAAATCAAGAACGTTACGGGAAAATGCATCAGTGAGACGATGCGCTAGAATTACATAATCTCGCTTGACGCTTTTTCCTAACGAAGATCCAAAGTCTTAAGTTCTAAGTCCCAAATTGCAAGTTTACTCGCGAAATCTATTTTCAATTTTAAACTATAGAATTCCACAAGTCTCAGTAACACAATACATATAATTTTTAAAATTCTAATCTTAGAACATATTGTAGGAGATTAAGGAAATTAGGTCTTGTAAACAAAGAATAACGAAATTACTAATAATAAGATCGATTCCTTTCAATTTTTTGTTTGTTTTAGAAATAAGAAATCTTTATTAGGTAATAAGTTTATAATTTAAATATTAAGTGATCGAAGTATTGAGTTAGTATTAATATATAAAATCTTATAATTTTTAATATTATGAGGAGAGAATATTTAGATATTAATAATATATTTTATAAAAGAAATTAGAAAAGAGAAATCACGTTTCTCAAAGTAACTTAAATAAATGTTGCCAAATATTTTCCTTCACTTCGTGATTCTTTTCATAAATATATCTCTGATGACTTGCTATTAACAGATCGAAGTTTATAGACCAAAGTTTATATAAGTAACAGTCGGTGTGTTACAACATCGCATCGGTTTGTCCACAATCGTTATGTATCTTCGAATCTTGTTAGTAAGATACATTGACTCGACAGGTACTTACGATTTGATCACCAATTAAATCTTTTTAATGGCACGATCTAAAAATCAATTCTATCGTTATCTATCATAATTTTATAATGATAAAGGTCTATAAACAATCTATATTGTCTTTGCTCTTTTAAAGAAATATAAAACATCTAAATAAACGGATGTCGTGAAAAACAACAGAGTTTGTTTTGACACGGATTCTATATTTCCTTTCAACACGTTATACCTCATCTAATCTATCATTCTTACATTATCCTCGAATTCTAATTTTACCAGCCGCTCAATTCTTTCTCGCACGCTACGGGATTTCGTCGTAACTTTTTCGAACATTAAAGCGGATTACACAAATATCTTGGCGGTTGGGGACTATGTTTTTCCGTCGCGGGATTACTTATGTAATACAGTCTCGAGCTCTCGTAAACCATAAAATAAATGTTGACGTCCGTGGGAATATAAATTAAAGCGTACATACATAAACCGTCACTTATCGATTTATGCGAACGATGACTAAAGCTATTGGAAATATTGATTTTATCCTGGCGAACAAAACAACAATAGAAAAATATCTGTTATATCTGTTATAACATCTTTAATCGTCTACCATAATATTTTTAATGATGAGAGAACGATTTGACACAGTGAAAAGATTATCTAACGCGAATGCGAAACTGATATGCCGCACTGACCTTCTCGATAAATATCGTGTTACTCTCTTCATACTAATAACATCTCGACAAATTAAGAATATAATATTCAAAAACATTTGTAATCTCATACATTCACAATCTCAAACAATAAGCTAATTAGTTTAATAAGTTAATGCTTTTATAAAAAGTTTATAAGAGTTTTAATACTCTTGTAAAGCTTCCTTTTCAATTGCAATAGTTCGCAAATGTCAAGAAAGATTAATATTTGTAATTTTCAGTTGCAATGTACTGATGATAATCGGCTTGGAAATATGCTTCTCTTAATATGGAGCGTCTCTCCCAGTCGCTATTATTGCGCTTTAGTATACTCGTCGCATAAATCTCCATGTCTCGTCTGCGTCACCGACGTATATGCATACTATTTCCGTATAACTATTTCCTTCATATCTTTTATTGTAATTTTATTGTTTGTCACATTAAAAAGTTTATATTAATGTCAGTATCACAGGGGAAACTTATCGCTATTATTAGAAAGGGCGTTGCACTCACATTAGAGATTTAACTACAGATTTTCTACTAAATCGTGATAAATATTATATATCTCTCACGATTAGATGTTATTCGTTAATAAATTGTTAACTTAAGCAACGAAATAAACGCCGCGGATTGCCGAAAGTCGGAAGTAATTAAAATCGCGCGGAGTTAAGATCGGCAAAAATCGATCGCGCGGCTCTCCTGCGCTTCTTCCGAATTTCCTCGCGTGCAGTATAACACACGCGGCGCGGACACGGAATCTCGTGGTGTCTAAAATCTCCGCCCGCGTACACTTACGGGATGCCGTTTTAACTGACCGCATCACGTGACGAGCTATATGCTGAATGCGTACACCACGGCAGAAATTGAAGTGACGCGGGGCAGTCGCGAGGCATCCTCGGTCGGTCGCTGACGCACGTGTAGCGCCTATACGGGGCGAGTTGCTTCCTCATAATCGGATTACATCCGGGGGTTGTAGTCGCGTTTATGGATGCATTTAACTAATCGGTAAGTCAAATTGCTCCTGCGCCACGAGAAAGCGATACTCCACACCGAATCGGACGTCGATTGGAATGCTCTGACAACAGCACGTCTTTTCACAATCCTCTAATCGCGGAATAAACTTCACCGCTTCCTCGTTACTCCTTTTCTTTATACTTCTTCGTTAAGATGTTTTTTACAAAAATGTCGTCGCAGTTTCGTCGGACTATATTTAACTCTAATCATGTACTTGTTGATCGTAGTTACACTTTAAGTATAACTATAATATCTATTACTATTTCTGCCAACCAATAATCTCTATTATTAATGATATAATGTGCTCAACAATTGACCAGTGGCGACAAGTTAAATCTTCTTTCAGTGGTATTCAATTGCTCGCAAAAATCTATTATGCTAGTTAATTCTAGATATCTTTTATAACGATTTAAATGATTACTTTTACTAAATTTTATTTTGGTAAATTGTAGATTTTGTAAAGGACTATTATTATATATTGAGAAAAAAAGATCAGATAACTGTTATCCTTTTTTATGAAATAAATCTTATTTATCGATAATTTTTTGATACTTAAATATTTGAAAATAAATATTTCGGAATATATACACGTGGATCAGCTCCTTTTTTACATCAGTTTATATAAAATATATGTTTAACATGAAATTATGAAGCAATTATAAAGTACGCTTAGAAATATTTAAGAACCAAAATAAATAAAAGATAAAAATATATCAGTTTTTATTGGAAATCCTTTCAGGACAAAAACAATTCTTTGTTAAGAAAGTAATTTTACTCGAAGGGAAATAATCTGCAGAAATTAAAATTAATCTTTCAATTTATGAAATGTACTTACTTTCTTCTATGAGTAATCATTGACTGTAATTTTGTAAGAATGAATGAATGTGAATGAATTAACTGATTTACTCTACAGCATGCTACCTTAATTAAATTCAATTACTAATAATAGCACACAAAACCGATTCCCATCCTTTAAGACTGCCGCACCTGTCACCAAGTCAGTACACATTTATTCTAAAGTTCTAATGAATAGAACCCCTATTTTATCACTATAAGCAATGAAATGATCGCTATTAAGCTCGATGAAAGCACTGTTACGCAATAGTTGAACCATTTATCCGATTCAATTGATATCGCGTTGCATTAGTGATCCGTTAAGTTGGCAAATGGCAGTGACAGGTTTTCTAAGTGTGCAAAAAAGACTTTGTCATTTAGCGACTATATTACACTTACGTCATGCATTTCGCGCATTTCTTGTTTCGGAGGAAATAATTTACAAATCGTACTTTTTGTTCTAAAGCAATATCGCAAACACACACACACAGTATTATTGTCTAAAATAATACATTAGTGATAACAAAAACGACATTCTATTTAAATTTTACGTGTGTGAAATATTGTAACGTAACATCCTGTATATTTTAATTTTTTTAATTGGTACGGTTTATAAATTTCATCAAGAAAAAAATTAATTGTTTATAAATTAGAAAACAACATAACTAGCTGGGAAATATTTATTTTAATTGGCTGGTATACTCATATTTTAATAATTATTCTCGCCATTATATCAGACTAGAATATTTATTGAGTTTTTCCAGTTTGCATCGGGCAAATTTAATGGCGCGCGTCAGCGATACAGATTGAATGATTAAACGGATGGAAGAGTACTGACTGCGGGCACTCGATGCAATTTAACCATAACGTGTATCATCTTAAACTGAATTATTATCAATATTGCAAACACCACACACAAATTACACTTTATTTTTCAAGTTAGCATACTTCTTGATGCTTTTTCCCCATTTATTTTTCTTTCACATTCGCTGAAAGTAAGAATGTTTATAGCAGAAGACTGCAGCAATATTGCATTGTGTACATTAATCGTACGATTATTGCACATTAATTGTTGCATAACATGTTTATTACTGACCTCGACAATCAATTAATTTATGTTACTTAATCGGTATGTGACCAATCAACCGATATGTTACGAACAATTCAAAAATATTTCCGCAGAAGCGTCCATCTGCAACGGCATAAATATGCGAGACGAATTTCCCTTCTTAGTTATGGAAAAGAATCCTACCGTTGCGAGATTCGTTTACGTCCGCGCCCTCATTTCTCATGCTTCCGAAATAGCATGACACTTGTTAGGACAGTTTTGGCAAAGGGGATTCTCTTCCGACGGCCTAAAATTAGTGGTTCGACAAGATATATTCCAGCCAGATTGTCCCAAGCATAAAGCTACATTGCTCCCCCATGCACGCTGAGGAAGTAAGAATTAGTAGGACTGATTGTAATACTTAAACTGCTAACCCACGTATATGTTCAATGTACGCTTAGGCGAACATTCTTCCGTATTAACAAATCAAATAACATGGATCACTTTGTAGGTGTCTTTTGTTTTTTTATGTTATAATTTATTATTAGGTTGTTATCATTATTGTTATTATTATACTATCGTTATATTGTTATTATTTCTATTTTTATTTTTATTTTTATTAATTATATCAAAGATCTAGACTAACAAGCAGCATATTATTGCTGATACTTTATTTCTTAAGGTTCTCTACTATATTTGCTTTCATACATATAACAACTCATGTCTTCTGCACTTCAATAAAGATGTTATTATTAATTATGTTGTTTTCAAAAGATTATGTGCACGTGCCAATAATCACATGTCTGTATTTTAGGTATTAAAGGATTTCGACGAAACAGTTACTAGAATTAACGTTCTATTATAACTGAGTTGTATTATATCATCTAAGACACTTTCTTTGGTTTTCATTGTAGGCATAAAAACCTGCAAACGGAGGAAATAGTAATATCTATGCCAGCGATTGCTGAAAGTTGATTGGGACTGTAATAGGTGAGTCAGTCTTGCGGTTTCACAGAATCGATAAGAAAATTTCCAATTTGAAGCAGAAGAGACATCTTTAAAATTTAAACGTATTACCCATGTGCATGTTATTGATAAAGTGTCTCAACGAGTAGCTTTTATTTAAATTCGATCCAAATAACAGGCGTTTGAATAGTAATAGGATATAATTTCGCCTTAACGAGAACAAAATATGCCGTCTTTGATACGATCTGTGCGAAATTAGATAATAATTTCCTTCTTCCCGGATATTTCTGTCGCGACCGTGACCTTAGAATAGAAAACGTTTCCCTCGTATAGAATTAGATATCTGTGTTATTATGTTATTAAGTTATTTGCACATCTCTCGGGACTCTGTAATACAGCGAAGTACCTCGTCTAACGCGACGAACTAATTAATTACCGAATAATTTTATATATTAAGCAAATTACAATTACTTCATTATAATTTCCGTAATAATGCGAAACACGTTTATCTATTTTTAAACGCGAAGAGGTGCAACACCGTGCGCCGCTAAACAGCGAATTTGCATTTTACGAGAATAGACTTTGTCCTCGCGCGTATTTGAGATCAATCGTCCGGTTCAACGATGCAAAACGGTCAAAGGCGTAAATAGCGAACGAGGATACCCAAGTCCCAACCTTCAGTAAGTTAACCTCAAGCTGCATTTGACCTCAATGCAATAATTAAGAGCAATCAGTTCGTAAAGAATGTGCTAAACCCGCGTGCGCGTACAACGGATTCGCAATGGTAAATTGACACTTTTTCCTTTACTCATTACTGCATTGCTCCACATTTGTGCCAATTGATTGGAGGTTTAATGTACTGGACTCGATATGGGTCGATTTTTACATCTTTGTGTAATTTGTGTTTCCCATAATACGAGTCAAGTAAGCTAGGCCGATATGTCTCAATGTCTCAATAACAATTTTTATATTTATTTATGTATAATTATCTTTTATTAATTTTAATTAAATCAAAGTAACACGCGTCTATTAACACACGTGTTAAAACAATATAATTAACAAATTGCTTTATTAATTTTCGAAGAATAAATTAATAAGTGTCATGTAAAATTATTTTAATAATTTGCTTAATATTTAAAATTATATCGTTTCTATTTTTTATCGTGAATACCATAATGGCAAAGTTAATGACTACTTGTTAATTTTGTAAGATTTTATACAATTATAAATATATGCAGCTTAATAAAAATAATAATATATAAAATGTACAACAAAAATTTTAGCGACACGAAGGAATCGGAAGAAACTGCGTGACCATGGAAAACTCGGAGAAAGCACATTTGCAGATGCAACCGATTGACTCCCACAGTCCTCGCAAGTACGATTAAATGATATTAATAATATATGTACTGAATAAATCGAAACTTAAAGTTATTCCTGCATGAATATGTGTATAATAAAGATATACAGACATGTAATACACTATAATAAGACAGGCATATTAGTTTAAAAGGATACTTTGACTTTTTGCCAATTTATTTCTCTCACGTCGATGTCATTTGAAAATTTATGCGCAGGGAGAACCACGAAGTCACTGCAGTCGGTATAAATAATGCTGACGGTGTAAATAATACTGACAATGTAGATAATGCTGAAAAGATGTTCTCTTTAAGCGAAGATGCGGCGGATTATGACCCTCATAAGCATCGGAATCGACCACATCCAACTTCGTAAGTACAAATGATGACAAACAATTCAGCGATTACGTTCACAATAAATGTCGTATTTTAAAAAGATAATATACTGCTACCGTTTTTCGAATCTGCAATAATATTTTTGTCATGTTATATTCCGTATGACACACTTATTACAATATTCGAAATATGAAATTAAAATATGATAAACGTATAAGAATTATGAAATCACTCAAACGCATGAACACCGTCTCTCGTTATTGAATTGTTAAGACGATTAATAACGAATCGGATAATTTCATGCATTCTTCGAAATTTAATTAAGAGAAATATTAGCTTTAAATAGTGTAAATATTTACAAGGGAACGACGATCACATTAAATTTTTCTGGGAAATTTTCTATATAATGATCTTGATAATTTTTAAATAAATTTTAGAAATATTAATTTGTTAATATGATTAATTTCGCGCATCCTTCGAAATTTGGCAAAAGAAAAAATTAATTTCGAAAGGAAATATTTGTAAGAGGACGAATGATCGAACGATCACGTGCTATTTCTCTAGGAAATCTCTGTAACAAATCCTGTTTATCTGAAAATACTCTTTTTTTCTTTCCCCCAGAAATTTCGAAACCCTGGTTCACTTGCTAAAGGGCAGTTTGGGCACGGGGATTTTAGCGATGCCGAATGCGTTTTACAATAGTGGCCTCCTGGTCGGTGTCATAGCTACAATTATCATAGGCGCATTGTGCACGTACTGTCTGCACATACTTGTAAAAGCTCAGTACAAATTGTGTAAACGGTTAAGAGTTCCTATATTGAGCTATCCGGACAGCATGAAATATGCTCTGGAAAAAGGTCCTCGATCCGTAAGCTGGTTTTCGCCCTATGCACCGTAAGTAATATCTACCATTTTTTTGTCTAGTTGACATAATTCAGGGATGCTCATTAGTGTAATGGATAGAACGGTCGCATATCTGTCGCATCCCACACAGCACAGGATATTTTGAAGGACATTTGTGCATCCGCTAGATATCCACCGGATATTAAATATCTACTGGATATCCACCGGTTATTGAGATATCCCACTTTATCTGTAGGACGTCCCTCAGATAAAGTGTGCTGTGTGGGATTCGATTATTCTAGCAAACTTTTAATGAAGAATAATAAATAATTAAAGTTAATATATATTTTTCTTACATATATACATATAAAACATTTATAATGTCGAACTCTTCTTATCGTAACGTGTTGAATAAATAAACAAGATAAATATCTATTTTATTCAAGAGCAGATACATACAATTGTTAATCTACAGTAATAAATATAAAATATTTAATTATAAATTGTATTTAATTCTAGAATCGTTTAAAATATCGTAAGTAACTAAAAGTTACTTAAGCTGAATGGTTCAGTTTATTTGCCCGTGCTGTATTACTGTTTATAAAATAACCGAGAATAGTAATAAACAAGTATTAGTACAATAGATATAAGGTAATTAAAGGTATAAATAAGACACTACAGTTATAGATGTATTTTAGTAAAAATAACGAACACGAGAGTTTGTTCTGCCGCTGCGTTCATATAGAGAGCTAAGAAAAGATATTGATCGCTAGACGAGATAAAAGTATAATTATTTCACCGAGTTTTGTGTATTAGACAAAGACATGCGCGAGTGCACAATTAGATCTTAAAAATGCTATTATTTCCAGAGGACTTGTAGACGGGTTTATGATAACATATCAAATGGGAATTTGCTGCGTTTATATCGTGTTTGTAGCAACAAATATCAAACAGGTAAATCTATGTGATTGCAATAAGAAAAAAAAGTACATTTAGAGTAATCCATCATTCCTGTAACACACACGCTATGCGAGAAAGCACTTTGCTGAACGACAACGCACAATTTAACACGAGCCATCAGACCTACGTCTGATGGACGTGAGCCGGCGCATTTACTGCAATTTTGTTAACGAACGCAGGTGACAGACCAGTACTGGGAACCTTTGAGTGTTTCGACCCATATGCTCATTTTGTTGCTTCCGCTGATTTTGATAAACTACATTCGAAATCTGAAGTTACTGGCGCCGTTTTCCACGGTAGCAAACCTTATTACGTTCGTCGGACTCGGCATGATTCTAAAGTATATGTTTGAAGATCTACCGCCGGTCAGCAGCAGGGAGATGTTTGGTACATTAAGAAATTTTTCCCTCTATTTTGGAACAACGTTATTTGCGTTAGAAGCCGTCGGTGTGGTAAGTCTAGAAAAGATATATTTCTCTTAGAATTACGATCATCTTGCAATAGCAATCTCCCTCGTTTCGGAGAGAGATCTTTTTGTGTAATATTGTTATATGGGAGAGCAATATGCAAAGGTCCCAGTAAACTTAATCGTTGTTGTACGTGATTGTTCGTAATCGTTATTTTTCAAAATATTCTTAGAACTTGATTTGTTTGTTAAATCTGTTTATCCCATAATTAATATTATATATATATATAAATAAAGCAAAAATTTCGCCATTATTAATGATATTTAAAAGAAGAAACGTTTTTACGATTACGCAGATTATAGCTCTGGAGAACAATATGAAGACGCCACAAAATTTCGGAGGCAACTGTGGTGTATTGAACATAGGGATGACTGTGATTGTTGTCTTATACATAGCCATGGGTTTCTTCGGCTACATAAAATACGGACCCGAAGCCGCGGGCAGCGTCACTTTTAATCTACCAAAAGACGAAGTGTAAGTAGAACGAGATAAAATTCCAATTACCAATGAGACAAATCAAGAAGTTATAACATTTGATTTTTAAATTAATTTCGCACAATTACTATCTTGATTCTATTTATTAAAATACGAATTTTTATGCGAAAGGACTTCCGAGATCCAAAATAAAAGAAAAATAATTTCTCGAATCTACTCTAAATATATAATCTAGATCTAATCTAAGATAATCGAAATATTTTCTATTATTACGAACGAATTCTATTTTCTTTATTCCTTTTTATTGCAGTATGGCTCAAAGTATTAAAATAATGTTCGCGATCGCCATATTCATAACGTATGCCTTGCAAGCCTACGTGCCCGTTGAAATTTTGTGGACCACCTACTTAGATCATCGAATACGAAACCGCAAACTTTTGTGGGAATACGTTTGTCGGACCGCTGTTACCCTAGTCACGTGTAAGTAGCGTTATTATTAAATTCTATTTAATTGATCACTTAATTAATAACATTATTAAATTAATAATAATTATTATTAAATTTTCAAGAGTCGTTAAAAAATATTACATAAATAAATACAAAAAATACCGAAAAGTACTTACGATGTTCAAGTTCAAGTGTTTAAATCCGTATAAAACTGATAAAATTGCATGAATTAAAATTGGCCGTTTGAAGATTCTCAGGATAATCATCAGGATTTTTATCATTTTCAGTCGTTCTGGCGATCGCTATACCGAGACTCGGCCTATTTATCTCCCTCTTCGGTGCGCTCTGCCTATCCGCCCTCGGCATCGCTTTCCCGGCGATTATTGAGATATGCGTGCTGTGGCCGGAGAACGATTTCGGTCCCCTCAAAGTCATGCTAATCAAGAATATCCTCTTGATCTTTTTCGGGCTGCTGGGTCTCGTGGTGGGGACCTACGTCAGCATCGTGGACATAGTGAACTCCTTCAAGTGAACACATAATCAAACGCGCGCTAATATTTTTCGAAACAGAGAAACGTACGTAGCGTGCGAACGAGCTTTGACGATGACGGTGTCGAGCACGTCGAAAAGTAAACTAGCTCTCAAGCTCGTCTCCCTCTATTTCTTTTTCTGCCTCTCTGTCTTTCTTTTACCGCCATGAATTTACTTAGATTTTATGTAGGTAATTAAAAAAAAAATAGACGCGATAGCTTGTCGAAGAGCACTCGAAATCTCGCGACAACAACCTCCGGTCGCAAATGATCGGGTGGTTCGATCTGTGATGAAATCTCTCCTAAGCATCGATAATGTATCGGAAGACGTCATCTCGCGCGGGTCGTTGTTAAAGATTTTTATTACTCACTTTAGAAAAGTGCATATTCTTATGCGTTTAACCGGACCGGTGCGTACACATACGATATATGCGTACAAATATGTACATATATCGTATACTCACTGTATACGAACGGTCCACTCAGTATACATAAAAATGTCACGTCTAAAGCGGGTTTTACATACATAAAATACACATTAGTATACGGATATCAAGTAGGTATTCGTGAAGAATTTTCCAATTAGATAATTATTCGTAAAATATTTGAGCTTAAGCTTTTTATCTCGGTGATACGAGTACTTAGAGACACGGCTGGCATTCATCGTTTTTTTTTGTAAGATGGATGTCGCAATAATCGATACTCGAATGACGTAAATTCTTCAGGAATTGGAAATTTTTTAATAAACGTTTATATTACAAATTTTATAAGGCAGCGATTTTAGTGAATGAAGCAGAAAAATATTGTCAAATTATGTTATCAACATTATTATTAATAAAATTTTGAGACAAAAATTTAAGTAAAATTAGAAATTTTGTTTTATTTTTTTTCAATGTGCTATATTAGGTTTCCTTGACGGTCACTTTATTATAGAGACAATTATTCTGTTACTAACTTTTTTATTTTAGATTTCTCTCTTTAGCGATATCCTAGTCTTAAAAAGCAATAATCAGAATGGTTCTTCGTCACGTTCTCTGTTTTGTTTTATATCTTACCAATACTTAATCAAAATACATGATTAAACATATATTATCAATAATGATTATTGCGATATCCTTATTGTGGGAAATGTCTAAATATTATATTGTCGATAGGAAACATTTTAATTTCATGATAATATTCAACCGTTTTAGAGTTCCATTTAGTTCCAAAATGTGGAGTGCTAATCAATGGAACGAAATCTGATTTTTAAATCTTCTGATTCTAAATATGAAAGTTCTTATATTTGACTTCAGAAGATTTGTTCCTAAGCTTATAGATTTCTCTTCGAAAAAAGAGATATTGGCAATAGAAGAATTGCATCTTCGTGCAATTGACTGAAAAGAGAAAAGAAATACTGTTTCAGCAATACGTGACCCAATGTTGAAATATTAAAAATGAAAGTACACATGAAAGTTACACATGAAAGTTACAAATCGAGAATAAGTCATTATTATACTGTACATTCATTCATGCATACATGCGTTCCATTTTTTACCGTCGAAATTGTAATAATTGCTCTTTAGATGCTCTTTATGCACGCTGCAGAGTAAATAAAGATATACTCTTAAGAAATAAGCGTAAAAACGCATGTAAAAGTGGATTGTTATCCACGATTATCGAAATTATCTTGAACTACATTTATTATACGAATCTTTTATAAATTTATAATTTTTATGGGTACATAAAGGTATACTATAGAAAAAATCCATAAGCATGTTAGAACAACAATTAGAAAATTAAAGTAATTCATTGTTATATATTTTTAAATATATGTATAATTCGAGTGTTCCGCTACGAAGGTGATAAGATCTTTATGTCGTGCTTCATCTCCGTTACGTTTTGTTTAATTTTGCTTAATAGATAATCGTGTGATCATGTTTTATTTTATACGAGTATCAATTGAATATTTTTTTCACAAATGTTGGACAGACATTTGAGATTTATTTCTGTCTTTGATGCAATACTCATATGTATAATAAATATCTTATTTTTACCTATTTATAGATAAAGGGATTCCCGTAACTTGTGCATTTTAAATAATCTCTGCTATCTTAAATAGGAAAAAATTTAAGTTATAGAATTTTGTGTTTTTGCGGAGCACTCGTAATGTATTGATAATATTTTCATTGTGCATAAAGACAAGTATAAAGGAAATTTGAAGAGCAACTTGATTTTTTTAAACTGTAACTGTTTTTCTTGCCTAATATAATTCTTCTAATCTTTCTGCATAAAAGTATGAAGATGAAATTATCAAAAGATCAATACAAGATATTTTATACTTTATATTAAAGTATTAAAAAAATATTAATTTCAAATTACCTTATCTCTTATGTGAGAAATGGATCTCACATAAGAGATATGGCATTTAAAGAAATCAAGTTGTTCTTGAAAATTCTTTCATGTCTCCATGCGCAACGAAATGATTTTTCCACTATATTACCAGTCTCTCGAAGTTTTAAAACCTTGTAGGTTTAATTTTTTCTATTGTTTAAAATAGCAAAGATATTTAATATGCATAAGTTAAGTGGACCATCCTATATAATATTATTTTGCTCTCTTTGCTCATATTTACATGGAAATGGGAATCCTTGAATAAAATAAAAACAACTGTTTAAAATGTCAATCAACGTAATAATATTAGACTGAAAAAAATATCACTACGCTATAATCGCAAATGTAAAGCATTTCTTAGGCTGACAATGAGAAAGTAATATTGCAATCTGAAAGTATCCTCTAAAAACGAGGTGTTATTGTTGACTATCAATGACTATTAATACGTTACATTGTTGAATAGTGTCTAATTACAAACACACACACACACACAAATTGTGTTATCTAAGCAAATTTTAAATTAATCGTAAGCCAGAAGGAAATATGGAATCTTGTTGGAAATAAAAATTATATTGATATTTTAAAAGTGTCACGCAAGACGGTACTGGCTGAATATTAACTCTCATGCACATCACGAGTGTTACAAACACATCAGTAAAAACACATTGCCTTCCTCTGATACTTGTTATCAAGATAATAGCGATAGGACGATATGAAATCAGAATAGAAATAAGGAAAAACCTGTCGTCAGTAGTGAAATGCGTAGAAGTGATAATACTATTGTGCTAATAGTTGCGACGCAAGCTATAGATTAGTAACGATCTCACAGAAGAGGAACAAATGTAAAATACATTAAACATCTAAATACACCGTTTTATACGTGAAAAAAAATGGACCAAAACCTCTTACTCTTGTGTGTTCTTAATCCCTGAATCACTAGTCTTCAACAATTATTTAACATACGATCTTGAAAATTTGATAGTTGAGTCCGATATTTATATAAACTACTTACTTTTACTTTATTTTATTGTTGCATGTACCTATATACATAATTTTTAATTTTTATTTATTATACAATTTTATGATATTGTCATATTTATCACAAATTTATCTTTATATAAAATAAATACACTCTCGGTAGATCAGGATCTTGAAAGGTTTGTGAAAAATTTAAACATATACGATCTTATTTTTCGAAATGCATTAAAGAGATTTTAAAAAGTGCTTTAATTAACATAGTAGGTTTTGGACTGAGAAAAAGAATTAATTGTATGGACTAAATTTGTATAGTTGTTGTAATTCATTGAATGATTCCATTGGTTGATTCAACAATTATTAAGTAGCACTAAAAAAAGTATAGTTCATTTATGTCAAACATCAAAATTTTTAAATCAAGAATTAGTTAATTCAACTAATGTTTAGTTGAACGTATCGAACTAAATAATTTAGTTGGATGAAACACATTTTGCGTTTTTCAACAAATTTTTTTTCTCAGTATATTAATGAACTAGTAGAATAAAAAATAAACGAGGGACTAGTTATACATAATAACGTTCTTCGCAGCGTTTTTATGAATATGCATTTATTACACACAGAGGATAAATACAGATTTCGTATCTGAAACAGAGAGAAAAGCAAATACTTTTAGAGAATCGTCGACATCGCAAATTGAAAGGTCAGGAGCATATCGGATCGGATAAAAGGAAAATAATTATAAAAATGAAAGTAAAATAAGAGTCTTTACAACGTCGTCGGTCGAAAACGGGGTTAGCAGCGACTAATGTAGAACAAATGAAAAATCTAAACTCGACAAACTCGTCCTCGATCACTTCAATGCGGAAAAATGAATAGAATGCTACGTCGGCTTTCCCTTTAATGAAGCAAGTCATTTCGTCAGACAGATAAGGGAAAGCACAGAAAAGGAGAGAGGAGAGACGAGAAATAAGCGACGAATCCTAGGAGATAGGGAGAGAAGGAAAGAAAGAGAGAGAGGGGGGAGAGGGAGGAAGAAAGAGGGAAAATTTGGATTACGCGTGATCGCTACTGAAGTAACTATTCTGCATCATGAACAGTTTGTCGATGGGATTGTTGATAGCCGCGTGCAGGCTCTGCGACAGCGACGGGGTGTCGTGCGATGACGAACCGTGATGGGAATGCGAGGCACCCTGATGACTGCCATCCGCGCCACCGCCATCGTTCTCGCCGATATCGAAGCCGCCGTCCGTACCGTCCAGGGACAGGTCGCTGCTGCAGAAACTCTCCCCCGAGTGGCCCGGATACGCGTCTGGAAGTACAAAAAACGCGTTTCGTCGTTTCTAGCGAAGTACCACCTCGACGTCATTGAATGGCATGCATGTTGCAACAATGGGAAGAATTTTATAGTAATGCTCGCATACACGACGGTTCGACCATATGGGAAGAATTTTACCCACGAACGATATAATACAAAATCAGACAGTATATGAAATAGAAATGTATACTTTCGCGATAATTAAAACATTTACATGATTTTTATCCAAGTCTGCCTTGACAATCTTGTTTTCGCACTAATGATATCTTTTACATTTGTTTTCAAGTACCAATATTTATATATACGAAATTATTTTAAAAATATATTTTAAGCTGAAGAAATATTATTTAAATTCTATCTTTTTTTGCTGAAGAGAAAAGCAGGAGGAATTCTTTTGCTCAATAGTTTAATAAATTTGACAGATTTGATTGTAGTAGAAAAAATGATTGAAAACTCCAGGCCCGAGGTATTAAAAAGAAATATATAAAAGCTAAAAAAAATATTTGGTTCGAACCTGCGTGAGCACGTGACATATATAGGATGTTTTTAAAAAAGGTGTATATCGAAACTTCTATCTTTGATCTGGAAAAAAATGGTTAAAGTAAACAAATTTTGCCTATCAAAAACTTTTTATGGAAACGTTCTTGAAATTTGTATGTGTGAATTGGAATTGTTGCGAAGCATTTTAATATTCAATATTAAAAATTCTATTTTATATCTTTAAATTCTTTAATTAATGTAAATAACGTAATTAACGTAAATATAAATATAAAAATGTAAAATAATCGGTCAAATTTTTACTAAAGAAAAATTAGCTGCAGATTGCATTTCTTTTGTTACATCTTATATTTCTGGCAGCGTGATTAATCAACTTTATCCGTATATTAATAATTATTTTTCCTTCCATTTGTTGTTAAAAAATAATTTTTATATATACGAAGCAAAATTATTTTAAAAATATATTTTAAGACAACTAGCTGTAAAGAAATATTATTTAAATTCTATCTATATATATAAGTTTGCTGAAGAAAAGCAGGAGAAATTCTTTTGTCGAAGTTTTCAAAGTTTATCAAAGTTTATCAAACTTTTGTCAAAGTTTGACCGATTATCTTATATAAGTTTATTTTGTTAATTATTAAAGAATTTGTAAATTTAAAATTAAATGTTTAATGTTAAATATTGAAATGCTGCACCACTTGTAACTTACAAATTTAAAAAACGATTATATAAATAGTTTTTAATCAGCAAAATTTATTACTAATAAACCTTTTTCATAACTGAGAAATCTATCGCGATAATGAAATGATTTTTTTAGTGAAGGAATCGACCGCAGATCAGCCGGAATATATCTGATCTGCTCAAAATATCATCCGCGCGTTCTGGGACACCTTCTAAACAACCGTCGGGACATAAACGCGTTACGCACATACCGCCTGTGACACCGGTGCGCAAATGAGTTTCTACGGTGAGTAAAGACTTACCGTCGGGCGAGTACGGGTTATTGGGGTTGAGCGGTTGGGTGGCTGAGGGAAAGCTAGAAGATTCCCCATCGCGCATGTTCAGGGCGTTCAAGTAATGACCTGCGAACGAGATTAGACAATTGACATTGAACTCACTCGTTTATACCAAAGCCCCATTAACCAGTCTTCGCAAATTCGCGAAGTCTTTCGATTCGCGCGCGTTGTTTCTCAAATCTCTCGCAATTCTACGCTACATGGTTTTTTGAAAGTAGCAAATAACTTGAATGTGATGAAGCAGGACCAAAAATCGTTAAAATTTATTAGAATCTGTCAGGACCGGTGCGTAAAAAAAAAAAAGTAATGCATAGAACCAACAATATCATCGAAATTTCACATTCAGGATCAAAAAGAAATTTCAGGATCTGGAATTCAGGAGTAGTCGTGCGGACAATAAAAAATAATGGTTGAATTCTTGACAGAATTCTGGACTAATAGGGTAAAAAAAAGGGCCGCTTACTGTGATCGCTGTGCGGACTTTCCGTCCTTCGCTCTTCCTTCGGCTCTTTATCGGATCCGGGCTCCGTTTTGGCTTTTCGCTGCAGCTTCTTCATCTTCGCGCGCTGATTCTGGAACCACACTTGAACCACGCGCACGCTGAGACCGGTGTCCTTGGCGAGTGCCTCGCGCACCTTTCTGCAAGGCTTTGGCGACACCTCGAAAGACGCCTTGAACTGACGTCGCTGTGCCGACGTGAGGATCGTCCGCGGCCGTTTCGGACCCCGACGGCCGTCCCGTGGTCGATTCTCGTCCAATAAGTCATCATCTAACAATACGATCCATTTTGTACATTAAGAAATATTTTACGTGTACGCAGCTCTTCTCGCATTCCTTATTAATCTCTTATCTATTTCAAATTCTTACTTTTTAATATCAACATCTCAGCAATAAATAAGTAAATAAATAAAGCATACAAAAATACAACAGAATTAAGTTCAGTGCGTTTCTCTTTATAATTTTTAATCTCACGTGCTACATGTACACGCACATACGCGCGCGCACGCGCACACAGATACGTACACACTTCTTTTACTTTACCATATGTTATATGAAAATTTTATACTTATTATATAAAATTGTTTTATAGATTTATTTTAGTAAAACAACTACTTTTACAAAAACTTAACGAAAGGGCTAAATTATTGCACGTAAAACATTCAACGGTATAAAACAGATGGAAAATAACAAGAGCGATTAATTTATGATTGCGTGAATAATTTTCCGTGTTTCGAATTTCACATCCGCCGCATAAACGGATTGATCGTCAGACGCGAGAGGCAGTGGTCGAAGTCGAGCAGTAGATACGGGTGGTTTCGATCAGACAGTGATCCGACAAAGCACCAGGCCACGCCTACCGTGCAGCATATGTACCGCGGCGCGGCAACATGTCGGCCGCGAGCAAACGCACCGGCCATACGCGCGCGGATTCCATTTTCCGTGCACGGGATATTTCAAGAACCCTGGGAATTTCATTGTTAAAAATTGTTTCGCTCCGTGGGAATACGGAACGGCGGGATTGTCGATCAAATTCAATGAGCGCGCGCGCGATCGCCGGTTAAATCGCGGATCATTCATCGCGTTATTAGTAAAAGCGCGATGAGCAATTAAAATCGACGCGGCCGAAATATTTGCACGATACTGATATAATGTGAAAAAATTTGTTTCTCATTGCTTCGTGAAAATTTTTACATTTATTTTAAAAATTTTATTAGCAGGATCTTTTTCAATATTTTGCTATGCGATTTTTTGTATTCATATTTTATATGCGTAATTTACGGAAAGAGTGAGAGAGAGAGAGAGAGAAAGGGGGTGAAGAGAGGAAGGAATGCATATAGAAATAGGTGGCTCACAAACTGCTCTTTCATCATTTTCTATCGTCACCGATAACACATAAAATATCTCGAAACGCGTGCCATAAATTTATGTCGGGATATCGGTCGGATAAACGTCGTGTGGAATAAATTCCACATCTTTCTTGATACCAAGAATATTTTCACGGTATTTTGATTATGCGAGAAAGGATTGGCGAATTGAAAACGATGCCTAGAGTTCAGGATGCCGCGAGGAACACACGTTCAATATCGCTCTCGGTCGTTCGTCGCTTGGATTTAAATTGTAATTACCTTGGAAAAGGAACAGCCCTGTTTCGAAATTCCTGTAGATTTTTACTTTGGATGTCTTTAGATTGTAGTACAACCTGCGAACAATGCAACAAGGTATGTACAATGGCGTTTCTCAACGATTTTTCATTTTAATTGTTATTCGGTGTATTTTCAAGCATTCCGCGCGGTAATGGTCCGGGGGGGGAGGGCTTTGTTAAATTATCTCGCAAGCCAAAAACTCGTAAACGCTCGCCAATCTCAATTCCCAATTCATTAATTTGGAAATGGCGCGCCAATCGATCGCGCGTTTAATCGGAACAAGACGATACGAAAGATAATCGAGCAGTTTGTTTTGTCACAGAAAACATTGTATATTGGAAGAAACATTACATCTCCTTTCGGTTCATTCTGCACGAGTAAACTACGTCGAGATATTTACTTAACTATGTATAAGCTCCTCGCAGAGCTTCTCGCTCATTTGTGGTATCAGACAATGCTTCTATCAGCGTAAGGGATGAAAACAGAGCTTGTGATTCACATATAGAGATGGATATATTGCAGAAAATCATCTCATGCAACATGATATACGCATCACACATTTTCACTCATGCTCAATACTCGTTTAGGATATTTTATATAAGAACGGCGTCTTCGTTATACGAGAAAAATAATTATTACGTCCGTGCATGTATACATATATTAAGCTTTAAATTAGGGTACAACTTCTAACAGGCTGCAACATTGAATATCCTTTGTTTACGCTGTGTAACGTGTACATCAAATCAAAATTATGTGAGAAAAACGTTTGTAATTTATATTTTTTTGTACAACAACGTGATTACTTTAAATCTTTTTAAACTATTTTGTCATTATTTAAAATAATCTGATCGTACTTTCTTTAGATCAATCTCTTTTTTTTTCTCGTGGAACGTTTATGAAATCGTAAAACTGTCCAGTCTTTCTATACACGGTCAGAGAAGAACGATAGCCGGGATAGGTGCGCTATTCCAACACGGAAATCTAGGGCCTACGAATCGAGCGACAACTCGAAGATCAACCCAAACGGGACACAATTTATGCGTACATCACGCACGTCCATGATAAAACACACGAAACAGGCGACACTCACCTTGCGGACTATTTAGAAACAGCTCGTGCTCAAAGTCCCGTCTGCAGATCGGCTGGCCTTGCCTGAGGATGTAGTGGGCGCCTCGCGGCAACGGTTGGCCGCACATGCAACACGCGAAGCACTCCACGTGGAAGATCAGGCCGGACACCGGCCGCATCACCAGATCCGAGCAGCTGATCTTCTCCATGCATCGCGCGCACTTCACCCCGAAGATCCTCTCGTAGTCGGTACGGCAGTAGAGCTTGAGGTCGCGTATGAAGCACGAGTGCGACAGCATCGCGCCGCATGCCGTGCACGAGAGGCACTCCTCGTGATAATTCCTCTCGGCGACTCGCATCACGTACTTGTCGGCGATGGTGCGGCCGCAGCCGGCGCAGATCGTCTCGAGGAGGCCGGACTCTGTCTTCACGGAAACGGACGGCTCTGCGGGAACAAAAACGGTCGACGTGTCACAACGATATTCACAGTATTGTTGTTCGCGTTCACGTTCGCCTCGATATCTCGGAATTGAAACCGATCAAATTTTTTATAGCTCGAAAACAAGTAGAAGCGAATACAGTAGTGCGGATAGATACACAGTCCGCCTGCTACGCGAGACGCGACAGCGATCGCCCCGATGTAGACTTGACATTCTTTTCGTTTGTAAGATGCGCAAAAATAGCTCTGTTACTTCATATTGATACTTATGCTTTTAGTCTTAACAATATTAACAATATTAAACAAATTGCATGGTCTAATCTTTTGAGAATTTTAAAGCAATATTGAATGCTTTTAAAAGCAGACATTAAAAGATCAAGATGTAATGCGTATATAATTAAGTATATTGTGTGATTATTTGGAAAAAAAGGATTAAAAGTATAAATAAAAAATGATACATCCTCAGTTTGAACACAGAACTTCTGCCTCTCTACTTTTAAACTAAACAACAAAATTGGCGATTCAAATTTCAAGATATATCTGTAGCAGAGTAATAGTATTCTTATTTACCTACTTATTTAAGTTGTAGTTTGTTATTTTGTAATTTTTTATTGCACAACATTTCTCTTTAGTAATGTCGCTAGTTTTAACTTGTCGCAATATCATATTTTCATCAATATTAATAATATTATTCAATTCATTAATACTTGTAAAATAAATCATGCGCTGAGATCTCTATTTTTAACAATTATATCGTATACAATAATCTCAATACTATTTACAACAATTTTGAAGTCTCACTTCTTTGGACGATATCTTTTTAAGTTAAACGATCATATTTCTGCCGCATTAAAAAATTTGTTTTAAATAATAACTACTAATTCGTGTATATAGATTTATTTAGAGACCTCTTTTTAAAGAACTCAAGTATTTTTGCTCTGACTTTTTAAAGACGTATATATCTCGGAATGAAAGTACAAACGTTTTTATAAAATTAGTTTGTTCTCACCTGCATTATTGTTATCAGTTGTGGGCCGAAAAGGAATAGGCGGAACCGTCGGCAAGGGTTGGCCCGGTTCGCTTTGACGATTGAAAGAACCAGGCGCTGGAGGATAAAATTCCAACATGGTGTCTCCTCACTGGAACCTTGAAGATAAAAAGTTTTTGCTGCAAAGTTTTCACTGGAATTCTAAACACTTGAAGGCCACACACCAATATCCAAATAAAAGTCTTTCGAAGAAACGGGTTAGATGTCCGAAAGAAAAGTTTCTCTTCTCAAGAAAACTTTTCCTTTTTCTTTCTCCTTTTGCCTATTTTTATTTTTGGCATCTGATTGTTTCGAATATCTCCAGTTGACTCTCAAGTCTCGACGGTTTTTTTTTTATTTAAGTTTTTCGATAAGACTGGTAGACGATAGATCGACGATAAATCACACTTCACTTGCTTCTTGTCTCGTTAATGGATCCTCCAAATTGTTCAGTTTTTTCAATATCACTTATTGCGTGCAACGTTGTTTTACGCTAAATATATATAGGAATACAACAACTTTTTAAATCAACACTTTATTAAGTCGGTCCAGGTCCAAATTAAATTATAGTTTTTACACCCAATCGATCTCGCTTCGATTAGATCTTGTGAACACTTGTCCCCCCAGCCAGGGCGGCGAGCGACGGCAGGAACCTTCACGACAATCGTCGTTTAGCCCTCATCGGTATTCTTCGATACGGATAACGCCGTACGTCATCCGAGTCTCATGACGAACTGCCGGGGCTGCGGCGTGCGAGTTTAACGCGACGATCTTCCCGGACGACCTCGGGGCGCGAGATGCCACGGCCGCATCGCATTCTGGACACGAAGACGATGACTCTGTCGATGTTTTCGCGTCCGTTTCCCCGTTCACTTCCTCACCCACTCGCCCGGCTGTCGGCACCGAACGCACTCCGTACGTGACGATGTCGTACGTGTCATCAGCGCGAGCTCCGTCGCTTTTTTGACGAGACCCACCACCGACTTCGCCGACAACGAAAATCATCCCCCTCCCCTCTTGCTTCCTCGTTCCCTTCCTCCAACCCCCATCCCCCCACACGGCGCGGCTTTCTCTACCTTCCCGTTTGTGTAGGTGTGCGGGTGTGCGTCTCGTCTTCGTCATTGGAGATAGATGAGGCATCGACGCGAGAGTGAAGAGGGCGGGTTCATCCCCCCGTGGAAGTCAGTGGCGGAAGCGCGATTGGCGTTGCTCGGAACCGCCCTTGCCGAAGCGAGCCGGTGGGGTGAATCGACAGCAGTGGTCCTCAACCGGCGGCGACGTACGAGCGGGGGATCAATATCCGGCCGACCATTGCCGGATTCAGTGACGTATCTCGACGAACACGTCGGACATCGATCTTGGGTGCCGCCGGAATCTCAGTTTTTTTTTTACAAATAATTATATACAAAACAAAAATCCAGATCAATTTAAAGTGAGTTTAGAAAACGTGACAACTTTCTCCACCCTCCCGTATATGTGTGTCCCATCTTCGTCATTGGAGATAGACGAGGCATCGACGCGAGGGTGAAGAACAACGGGTTCATCCCTCGCGGTAAAAAGTAAATAATCTAACTGATGGTATATACTATTAAACACGTGTTGCTGATTTTTAATATTGTAGAAATAATTATGCCATTCGAAAGGGATATGATTAATCTAAAGATACAACACATAATTTTCCATTTAAAAGACTGTACTTAATTTATTTTGCCTGATAACACGCCACACTTGATTTCAGAAAATTAATAGAAAAAAATTAATAAAAAAATTAACAGAATAGAAAATAAATGGCTTTAGAAAATAAATAAAAAATTAATAGAATAGAATGAAAATTATGTTATATAATTGTTTACTTATTCCGAGAAGAATATATCATAAAAACAGTTCTGGTAATGTTAGGTAACTTAACTTTGAAGGTACTTTGAGCAATACAAAGTTTCCACTAGGGAACATCGACTACCAGAGCGGAAACTATCTTCATATAATTTTATATTTATTTCAGATAAATATAGATGTCAGATTTCGAACTATTTCACAATGATTGTTTAGTTTAACATAAAAGTCTATCGAGAAATATGATGTGGACCAGGCGAAACGAAAAGGTATCGAGACGCTCTGTATTGACATGAAGCTATTTGTAGAGTTGAGTAGCGCTCGTTGCCGATCAGCCCCCGCTCTTTTTCCTACGCGTATAGCTTCTGCCCCCGCGAATACGGCTAATAACCGATGCCATTTTCGAGCCGGACTGCCTGCGGACATATTTTTTCGTCGAAAGTCGGTGCACGCTGAGTATTTGGCCGTTTGTCAGTCCGCGTAAATATGCGACAATGCCGTCCTTTGTACGGGCCGTCTATCGGCGATGTTTGCCAAATAAAAGCCTATATAGATCTCTTTGTCTCTGTTCCTGTGCTGCGCGCGGTACGAATCCCCCAATGATACGCCTAGTTGGGAACGAAACTACGACGGCATTGCCCCTCCGGTGCACGATACAAAGGGGCATCAAGTTGGCGGTAATGGTGATGCAAACTATTCGGGGGAAACACGTGCAGGTCGAGGGGGCCCTCCCCCTTCGCCCGAGATGCCCAGTTAGTATTCAGATTCGCTTAATCGTACGCGACAGTCACCATAAGTCGCGCAAGATCGATGAATCCTTTGGCCTTAGATCCCTCAGATCTAGATGCGAAAAGTCGTAAAGTGGCAAATTAAATCGAAATTAAGAAACTTCACAATTGCCATTTACTGAAGGAAATTTAAGTCCTTTTTGTAATAATAGACAATCGAGAAATTTTTTTCTTGTCTTGGATTTTAATGAAAAGAACGAATGATTTACAATATATTTGGCATATACTTCCAAAAGATCCGTATAATTTAATCGACGAACAATGTATTTTTTGTCGATGATCAACGTCGACACTTCGGGTGTTGAAAATTAAAGCCGCGCTATTCCAGATGCGATCCGAATCTCGATCGAGGATCCAGTTATCGATCCCGACCTTATTCTCCGGACAATGAAAAATTAGGGATGCTCAATGACCCTTACCATTTCACGGCACGTGAAAGCACAAAAGTCGCTGCAGCGTCGGATGAAATATGGGGTTCTTTGCAGGTGGATGCGACCCGCGGACCCTACCCTTCTTCGGCATATTGTTTAGGATGTGACACTAACGCCGACCGTGTAATTATATCGATACGGTTCGGGCATTATATATCCTGTGGAGAAAATCCCTGTCCGCACAGGCCATCCGACTTTCCTTTGGTCACGCAGTGAAAGGGTGCCCACGCAACGGTACTGCCAAGCTCTCTCGTGACGCTTTGTTTTGCACATGTTGTGAAAATGCAGGGTGCATCGACATCGGAATTCCTTTCATGAAACGCGGAGAGCTCGATTGCTAAACTCTTCCCTACTACGGCAAAATTTGAGTAATTAGACTGATACTCCGCAGCGTTGTTTTGCGTCCGGGAATAAAACTTTTATTGAACATATAGCGTCGTTATATTAGCCACGTTACTCGGAGATGAGAGCACAATGATTACGATATAAAATATGAAACATGTAAATATAAATTTTGTATGTTGATTTTATTTATGTTTTATTATATTTCTTACCTTTTGGTATGATCTAGATTAGACTAGCTACTCTAGATTAGCTTGGAGAGAAAAATTAATTCCATTTTTACAAGATTTACTTAAAATAAATAATAACAGATAACAATATAGAAAATTATATTTTTTATAATAATATTGTGTTTTATTATATCTTTATTCGTCAAATTTGGATTTGTCATTATCTGGCCAAGCTCTTTAAAAATATATAGGTATTTCAGTTTGGGTTAATATTCCAAAAAAAGTATACAAAAAAGATTCTTTTCTTTTTTGTAAAAATGACAATCACACAAAAAAGAAATCTAAGTTTCATATAAGATAACGGGACTGACATTCGATTTTGTACATTTTTTAAACTCAGTTTGCTAAAAAAAAGAATATTTCTTCAAAGACTTTTAATTGCACACATAGAAACAAACTTGTTTATGCCTTATCCAAATAGTTTTATAAAAACTTTTATTAATGAATTCAATTCATATCAAGCAACTATTTAAAAACAATAATGACTGAAATAGGTTTAACTGGGATTTTTCCCTTTAGAAAAATGGGGAAGTCCTACTTCTTACTCGTTACTAGTCCTAGTAACATAGATCAGGAAATCCAGAAACTAGACAGGATCTGGTCTACATTTGGGTTTACCTCTAGTAAATATACTTGAATGAAATGTGAAACTATACCTTGTACCTGAATTGTTACGCTAACCAACCATATTAATCAGTTCTCGCGACTTCCTTCCTGGACTCGGATTATTAAATATCAACGTTAACATATATTATTTCTATCCTGTATGGCGATTACAGCGAGAATTATCTCGCAATTCTGGCAACCCCCGCAGATTTCGGCGAAAAATTCGAACGCAATACGATTGGCGCAATACACAATAGGCGTATCTCTCAAGTCATGACGAAAGAGAAAAAGAAGGGTCGCTGTCGAATCGCGTCGCCGTCGCTTTTCGGAGCTCGGTGGAATCCAAACTGGCAGTCCACCCCGCCGCCCCGCGATGACAGCCGCGGGATGAATTCTAATAACGTGTCCTCTTTAGTCTAGCGCGCACGAATCCATCTTTTGCTAACGAGGGTGGAAGTTCACGATTGCGTCCCAGGAATGCGTGATGACTACTTTGTTAGGAATGCAGCACGGCGCGGCGCCCATACGAGAGCGAAACGAGAGCAGTATATGCAGTGGCGCGGAGTACACCCAAACGCCCCGAGCGCAAGCTGAGCTTTCGAGGTCTCGTATCCAAGACGCCGGCAGGAACTGTTAACTCTCGAAGTAGACTTAGAAGAGCGTTATATACATCATTTTCGATATATAATAATTATTAAAACTTTAAGAGAGATTTAATAAGAGATTTAATAATAATTTAAAAAAATAATTATATATATCTAAAGCAAAAGTTAAAGCCAAATAATCAAAATGATACATAAAAATTATTTGAAAAATAATTAATAGTAGCTAAGCGAGATACCAAAATGGCAGCTAATAAATTCAATAATGAGCAATAATTACTACGTTTTCGAGAGAAACGTCGAGAACCTTGATACTCGGGGAGGCAACCGTCTCAGCGATAATCCGCCACTGGTTATACGGGAAACGTGGCTGAAACGCAGCTTCAGGACGCGAAGCGTAGCTGAAAGCAGCTGCGCGCCTCCCTGGAATGCGTCCCTGTTACCCGGCACCGGGATACTACAGAGGGAGAAAGAGAGAGGGAGAGAGAGAGAGAGAGAGAGATCAAGGAGGGTTCGTACGTTCCTTCCGATCCCGCTACTCTTTGGCATTCGGGCTTTAGCATCGCACGGTTCAATAAAGGAACGCCCCCGGCCTGAGTTCAAACCGAATTCACTCGTATTACCCCCGAGTAACCGGGGCTCTACCTGCGCAATAATGTAAAACAATGTAACGTATCGTTTTGCGTCATCGCAAAGTGTAATTGATAAATTCTTGCAAATCGTGCGTTAGGTCGATACGATAGATATTTGTCATATTTGTCGAATAAACTTGAAAGGAAATTTCCGACAAAATCGAAGCAAAGCAACCGTTACGGCCTTCAGTTCTACTCTTTATCTTATGTAAGGAAAAAATTTCTCCAAGCCTTTTGAGGGAACGTCTTTTTCTTTTTGAAGGACTTGGGTTTTAGAATTCTACGATATTTTGCACAAAGCTTGATGGGGAAACGACTTTCGTAAACCTTTCGCACAAATCTCATAAATCTTCTAGTCGTTTGTCTACTTTCTCTACTGTACGCATTTTCTCTATTGACATTGACAATCAATGAATAGTTTTTGGATATCTTTGTTTTCAGTAGCTGAATGTGTCGTCAATTATTTTAGATGATGGGCACAGACCGAGGCACAGACAACTGACTGATTTTTAACAATT